TAATCATGAAGTAATCGTGCTGTTGATGAAAATGATAAAAAAATATTAATAAGAAAGAATGTTGTGTGTCTGATAATAACATAACATGTATTGTAATTATCTGAACTCCCTTAATCATTTGTTTCCTAGAATCTCATGGAATAAGGTTCATTTCAGTCCTGGCCAAAGCTTTAACATCAAGTACATGGAAGGTTCAGGTTGTCATACTTCGCGCTATCAAGTCATTTTTAAGCAGGTYAGTTTCTTGTTACACTTGTTGCATTCTCCGCTTATCGAGCCAGTGTATTGATATGTTTTATAACTACTTGTGTGTTACAAAAAGGTTAGATAAAGCTATCCAAAGAGTTCGTTTATAAAATGTTGTATATGGGTTTTATCTACCATATAAGGATTTGTCCAATATGTGATTTGATCCATTGCTCCGAGTGCTTTTCTGCRCTTACACTGGTTTTCCTCCCTCAGTCAAAAACTATCTTTAGGGAGTGTCSTATGTTGAAACAGTCAATGTTAAGGAAGAGTGTGTGGGTCTGAGTATCCAATTAGTAGTACACTTGTTGTCTGGCTACAGCGATTTAAGACTCTAATAAAGTTATTTATTTAGAATTACAAGTCCCATTTCGAACTCAGTATCACTGAAAGTAAATTCTTTGTCACTTATCATTATTCACCAAATAAAAATCCAATGTATTACCAGCATTTTTGTTATCCTGTTAGATATAAGTGCTTGGCGTCCAATTTTTGCTAAAAGCTGATCAGAACTCTTATTTTAGTAATGCACTMRTCATATGCATTATAATTTTTCTGGATACGGAATTTTAGGTTAAAGTGGCAGTTGTCACCTTATGGCCCAAAAAACAACTCTGATATTACCATGGATACAGTCAAACCAGGAGTAAATACGGACAACTCAGATATTTGCCTGGATACAGATTCAGCTGCTGCTGCAGATGATGGTAGTAATGACGTTGCTATAAATACAAGTAAAGCAGAAGTTACCATAGAAACAGAGGTGTYATCACCACCTCTGACAACATTAGAGACTATCCTTCATCGTGGGTTACCGCCAGTGTGCGAAGGACTGGGTACGATTTTTTGGGGTTTTATTTAATTCATCACTACTTACGAAGAGAACTTCTACTTTATGTAGTGTTTAAAAAACGAGCAAGAGTGCTTTATCGGGAGATATAGACACGTGGTCGAACACGTGGCACGTGACTGATTAATAAAACATCAGTTCTATGTGATATAGAACTACTTTATAAAACATTAGTACTTTATCGGGATATAAAAGCCCGTCATGTGACCCAATAGTTCGATGTTCATTGCTGTCATTGGACTAATAGCTCATGAATTATTAATGAGTTCTATAAAATTTATCTGTGATTTATCCAAAACCTTTGCCTAGCAAACTATGGACTGTTCCAATAGTTGATAACATTTTCTGAAAGCTTGATAAAGTGATGACATCAATGGTATGCGTGAGCTAAGAAATAAGCATGCGCAAATGCCGATCTTTAATATCTTTTCTTCTTATTATTCACGATATGAAAATATTGAAAACCCGCACCTTGAAAGTTTTTTTGAAATTTCTACAATTTTTTTTTCGGCTTTGATATATTGCCGTGCGTTGCGCATTTAATTTGAACTAACGTCTATTCGTTAAATCGTGGTCGCATCGAGAAAACCCATAAAAAACGAAAAACGGTTGAGAAAAATTGACTTTTTATGTCCTTATTTCGAATTTGTCGCATAGTTTTGGATGGATACTTAAATAATTAGACTATTCAGTCACGTGGACTACCAGATTTTATAGCCAATTCTACCAATTTCTTAATGGACCACTTGYACGATGCAGCGGCCATTTTTTGGAGGGAGCACTGACAATCAGAAAGATTTTTTTATGTGAATTTAGGCTTTGGTATTACAAAATCACAAGAAAATTCATTTTTCTAAGAGAGGAATAGATAAGATGTACTTACAGTTTCTAAAGATGCACGAAAATTTCTTTTGATTTACTTTGTCCTAGGCACCCATTATGCATTGCAAATAAGGTCCTATCGTATCACAAAACCTTAGATTTATAGACAGTCTTGATATTTGTTTCATGTATATCTTTTTAATATTCATGGCTTGAGTTGAATGATAGACAACGCCGAAATGGCTTTTATTTATTTACCACCTGTCATCTATTAGAGTACCAAAACCAAATCCATTATTGTCGTACTGAATGGGAATTCCKCTTTATATGGTTCGATATGGTTCAATCAGCACTTTTTAGCTCTATTTCGATCTATTTGATTAATACTTTTTCACGCTTTTATTGTTTGCTGTCTAATGAGCTTAATTAATCTGATTATATTTAGAAAACAAGAAGTACGCCGCAGTACGACTAAATTCTCTGGAGGTTTTAGAAACACTAGTTGCAACGCTGAAACGTAAGTCTTGACATTGGTTGATATTTTGAGGTGGTTGATATCTGTATATAGCCGTTTATGGCCAAGATGGACGTTGTGTGGAGAACAAGGTGAAGTTGGTCTTGGCTGTCAGTTTCGACAGTGTTGATGGCAACGTAAATGTAGGGTCTTCAGACAAACAACTCAGCACTAGCATGGTCTCATATCACATCATAGACCTTTGCTATGTGGGAATTGATAGTTTTTCAAATGTGCTCTGTTGAAGTTAATTCCGCATGCATTTTTAGTGACCGAACCCAACAATTACAGTGCGGCTACTGAAACCGGGGCCACCTAGAGAATATAAAATCMCACAATTGAAAACAAAGAATTCAGACTAAGGAAACCTCATCTAATAAGCTTTAGTTCTTTGCAATATCACTGATCATCGCTTTTAAGCTTTTTAAGCCTTGTTTCAATCGAAATTGTGATTATTTTACATTCTCTAGGTGGCCTCGGTTTCAGTAGCCACGCTGTTAGTAACTTATTTGTTGTTCTTGGTCATTTATCTTATCGTATTTATCTTATCTTAATATTTATTAGTGTTTTCGTTTTTTAAGTTAGTTAAAACATTCGGGTCCTTGTTGTGTAGGCATTACAATCTCACCTTTAGTATTTAAAAGAGTTTAGCCAAGGTTTTCCAAGATCATGATACACATCAACAGCTCATACTGTATTTATCTCATACAGGTAGAGATTGTCAAGCTCTGTTGTCAGGCAGTGTTAAAGAACTCATTCTAGATGGTTTAAAGTACATTTACAATGACAAAGAACCAAGAATTAAAGATAAAGCAATACAACTCAACAAACAAATTAGATGATAACAWTCGCTATTAGACAAGTGAAATTTCAATTTAATTTTAAATTAAGATTTTCAGCATTTTGAGAAGCTATGAATTGAATATATGAAATTATTCGTTGGCACATGCAAAAAGTTTTCGAGTAGAGGTAAAAAATAACATCTTATTGAATTTCCAWTTCCACATATTCTAAGGAGCAAATAAAAAACATTCTCCGCTAGGACATGCATTTGACGTCAAACCAGCTATTTCTATTGAACGAAACAAATTTTAGAATARTTGTTTCGCTCCCAGATGGAGTTGTGCCTGGCGTCCAWCTCGCCCCAAAAGTAGTTTCCCCAAGGGATCGAGGGYAATTTTGGGACGATCATATSGACACGAGGCTTGTAAATTATAAAATTCACAACAAGATTATTGAATCATCGTCTACTACAATAGATGTTTTACCAATGCATATAGTCAATATTTCTTTCTCTTTTTCTTTYCTTATCCCTTCCTTCAAGTTTTTAGTTGAAAAATAATGTAGTTTAGCATTGATTTCAACAACTGAGTCAATTCGCGTTGAATCTACAAGTTCATTATTATTTCTTTTTCTTTTCAAAATATAATCAGATTGTTGAGTACTCATTTCAACAACTGAGTTAATCGTAAATTATTTTCAAATTGCTACTTATTCAGTGTTTGGCTCTCATTGAATCACTTATTCGAAATCACTTGACTTGAAACTAAAAGCTCTTAGGACAAAATTCAAATAAGCCAAATTATTGTAGAATATCCGCTAATACTTSTAATAGGGTTTCAGCAAATGCAAGCAAGTACTTGGATACCGGATTTAGAATAAGCGCAGACACACGAGGGTAATATCTCCCTTTGTCCTGAAATGAAATCCCTACTCGACAACCTACTTGCGAGTCTTGAGAGGAATCACCTTAAGGATGTACTGACGTATCCGTTTATAGACAGCCTGGTTGCTATGCTAGACGATGCTAGCCAATCGGAGAAGCGGGCGCGCGCGCGTTTTCATGGCGGGAAAATTTTTACTTCCGGTGTAAAGGTTTTTGTTTACATAAAATKTATGGTATCATTTAAAAAATATAATCTTCGGTGCGAAACATCAAATGGATGTGTTTTTTCAATACTACTTTATTTACGGCGGCAAGCGCCTCGAACCGTACACCGGTTCGGCCTTCGGCCTCAAGGACGGCGCTTCCGTAAATAAAGTACAAGAWCGAGTAAATCCAGCCTCTGGTTTCCAGGGTATCGTTTAATATACTTTGCTTGATGAAATWATAGGATTCTTTCGTATTAATGACGTCACGCGATGACGTCATAGAATGTGTTATTTTTTGTTTGGGAAGGCTTAATACTTAATACGAAAGCGATTKTACTTTTGTTTGTCATTTTAGAGAACTACTGAATTTGCCTAGCAACGGATATGTCAGTACACCATTAAATGAAGCAGTTAGTCGGGAACCAAAAGAGCGATCATTGTTGCCTTGGCAATATATGTCATAATGTCCTACTGACGAAAGATCTAAAGGACTTCAAACTTAACWCAAATATTAAAAGTGGCTGTAGATCTTTCTGTTGATGTTCATTATGTAARTTATGGTGAATTACAAAATAGGCCAATCAAGTAAAAAATCAATCAAAGTATGTCTCGATGGATATCTCGAATAATCAATTGCAATAAAATGTTTTCTGATATGAACGAAACTTCTACCAGCAGAGTTAATGTTATCATTTCCAAATCAGGTTGTCGTATTCTTCACCATGTTGTGTTCTAATGAAAGGCAACACCAACAACAACTATTTGGCCCAAGTTAAAAAGACATTTGTGATACATCTGCATGTTTACAGGCAGACTGTTTTAACTGTTTTAAAAATTCTTTCTCTCCGATTGTTAGACTTCAAGGTCTTCGCATTGTCTAATTTTAATTTTAATATTTAAAAAGATTATTACCCAAATGTACCTCTACTGGACCTGTCGTACGACCTCCATATATTGATGTACATATACAGGGACACTGATGTACGTAA